CGCCCTCTCCCCCCCCCCCCCCCCCTCCCTGTGGGTGCTCTGGGGCCCTGGCCGGTACCCAGCACCGCAGCACGCAGCCCCCCATCCCCCTGGGCTCAGCACCCTGCCATCCCCCCAAGACCCCACCCTGGGCTTTGTCCCCCACTGAAGGACTCGAGCATGAAAACTTCCGCGTGGCTACGGTTTGGTTTTTAGGACCCATCCCCGTGCCGTTTTCTGCAGTGGTGATTACGTGCAGCTCCCGCTGCTGCTGCTTTCCCTCCCTGCAACTTGTTGGTTAACTTGCCGGCTCCTCCGGCGGGCGCGGGAGAGCTCGCCCTGGTGCCAAGCAGCGGTGCCTTGGCCTGGTGCAACAGGTACCTCGGCCAAACCCTCCGGCAAGGCGCAGGGATGCAGGGCCCCCCCCGCCGAGCATCCTTGGGGAGGCGGTCCCTCCGCAGCTCCGACACGTCGGGTTGAGCCGGTGCCAGGCAGGAGCTGGTCCTGGCCGGGGAGCGGCGAAGCCCCCCGGGGTTGGAGAGGTGACCTGGGGGTGAAGGGGCAGCTCAGGGGGGCTGAATTGCCCCGTGGCATCCCTAAATCTGCCTCTGCCAGCAGCGCCCGCTGGGTCGGCAGCTGTGGTGGTGAGGATGGGGACGTGGCAGGGCAGTGGCCAGGCCGACCTGCCTGCTTTTCCAGAATATGCCAAATTATTCATGTGCTTTTTCAGCGTGGTGTGGGAGGCCCCTCACCCTTTTGGCTTTCATATAAACCAAGAAGGAGCTGGGGTGCCGCCATTGGCCCCTGCGCTCCCCATGTGGGCCAGGGTCCCATGCCGGTGTGATGTCTCATCTCCAGGCAGCCGCTGTCTCCTAGAGACTAGAGCTTCACCACCGCACGGTTAAAACCCCTCGGTGTTATTCTTTCCTGAAATTTGCAATGCATGAGGGAGATGGGCTCATTTGATGTTTTTTTTCCCAGAAGTAAGTGACGTATCCCCATGTGAGCATTGGGCACGGGTGTGCTTCAGGCGTGGGAGCTGAGCATCCCTGGCCGTCCCCCGCCTGGCTGCCATCTCTTTCTAAGAAACCCATCCAGCCCGGAGCTCCTCCGTACCACTTGAGCTCTCGAGGGCTTGGGGGGGATGGACAAGGCTTTTTGGTGATGAGTTTGGTGAGGTTGGCCAGGCGAGATGTTTCTATCCTTGTAGTTGTAGCCTGGCACAAGCAGCCGGTGCCTTTTGGTAGGGCTGAGAAAAACGTGTGAGCATCTCCGCTGCCTGGCATGGAGCCCACGGCATCGCTTCTGCGTGCGGGCAAGGGCGGTTTGGGGAGGCGAGCGTTGGAACTCGGCCATGGGCAAGAAGAGCTGCTGGTCTCGGGAGGGAGGTGGCCAGTCCCAGTGCTGCCGGTTGGAGCGGGCATGGCACCGAGGACAGCCAAGGGGGCTGGGGTGGAGCGTGAGGAGGAGTGGAGGCTCTTCTTCATCCAGCTCCAGTTGACTAGGTAATAGGGCTAAAAATAACCGGTGATTCAGGCCTGTATATCTGCTGGGTAACTGTATAATTATAACCAGCAGCCTCTGCAGTTTGGCTTCCCAGTGTAAATAGGGATGATGCATGGAGGGGAAGGAGGAGGACTATGAGCAACCGGGACTGGGCTGCAGCTCCGTGGGGAGACAAGTCCTTGCAGAGTTCCTCGCTGGAAAGCCCAGTGTGTTATCTCCGCTGGAGCAGCTCTTTTTACCAGTCCTGTCCAAAAGGCGACGCAGCTGCTGTTGTGGCTGTAGGAACATCTACTCTTCTCATTTGGAAACGCAGCCTCGTCCTGCCTGCTCTCCTCCTGCTGATGGCCAGGCCTTCAGCCCTGATTTCATTTGTTTGGCTGCCTGGCAAGCCGCAATTCAGTTAGCACATGAGATGGGCTGCAGCTCATCTGTATCTGCTCCGTTCTTCATCCGCTTAATCACATTTGACCTGGATAAGATTCCTCTCCCGCCCCAGGAAGGCCAGATGACATTGTGTGGCTCTGGCTGTGTCCCCAAAGACAGCCTCCAGCACCCGCTGGGCACTGTACCTGTCCCCTTAGTTTGACAGGGGAGAGGGATGGCCATCAGTCCTCTGGGGACCTTGCTGTTCCCCGCAGTGAGGGCTTTGTCCTGTCTCAGCCCCTTTGAGGACTAAATGTGGCATTGGGTTGGCCAAGAGAAGACGGGGGTTGTCTGCAAAGCATCCCCAGCCCAACACGCATGGGGATTTTGCTCTGTGGGCCGCACACGCGTGTGCTTGAACCATCTTGATCCTCGTGATGACTCCCACTTTGACCCGGGCATCTCCGATGCTGCGTGGGCACTGCTCCTCGGGGACCCTGGCAGTGTTCTGCCACACCTGAGCAAGCATCTTCTGCACCTTCGCTTTTGCCCAGCCAAGGTTTCGGCAGGTCTTGCCTCCCTGTGGGAAGAGCTCCACCACGTCGTGCTGTCCTTGGGCAGCTCCCTCCTTGTGCTACCCAAGAAACCTCTCTTCTTTTTTTTTTTTTTTACCTCAAAGGCTGTTTTTTGTTCCTTTACTTCAC